AAGTGGCCCGCGATGAGCACCTTGTACAAGATGGACGTGACGAGGCCGGCCGTGCACGCCGAGAGCGTGAGGTTGACCGCGACCTTGGCCATGACGTCGGCCTTTGTGCCCTCGAGGCTCAGCGTCGAGACGCAGTTGAAGCCGTACCAGCCAAACCAGAGAATCATCGTGCCCATGAATTGCAGCAGCACCGACTGCGACGGGAGGTGGCCGTGGCCCTCGGCCGTAAACTTGCCAAGGCGCGGACCGAGCAAGAGACACCCGACGAGCGCCGACGTGCCCGCAAACATATGCAGACACCCGGTGCCGGCAAAGTCCATGACGCCAATGTCAAAGAGGAGGTTGCCTTCGTTGAGCATGCTCGCCCAGCCCGTCTCGGCCCACGCCCAGTGCGCGCAGACCGGGTAGATGAAGAGACTCGCGCAGAACGAGTAGACAGCGTACGCCGACAGCGAGATGCGCTCGGCGACCGCGCCGTGGCAAATGTTGACGGCCACGGACGCGATCGCCCACTGGAAGAACCAGTCGGCGTAGTGGTGGCCCCGGAACGCCTGCGTCGCCGAAGCACCCGTGAAGTCGGCGCCTTGCATGAAGAAGCCGGACGAGCCGATAAAGCCGTTGCCGTGCGTGAACGCAAAGCTGTACCCGGTCGCGTAGAACGTAAGGCCTGTGAGGCAGCAGTCGCATAGGATGCGGATCATGATGTGTTTCGTGTTCTTCTTGTGCACGCAGCCGATCTCAAGGAGCGCGAGGCCGAGCATCATGAGGAAGACGAGGACGCCGCCAAAGAGGAGCCAAAAGAGGTCGAGCGACGCGCTAAAGCTCGAGGTTTGGGCCTCGGCGACCGACGCGGTGAATTCGCCCCACGTCAGCGTGCGGCTCGTGCCACCGACGTCGATCGTGATGAGCGACGACGGTTCCCACTGCATTTTGAATCGACTTCAGCAATCTCAAAATGGAAATGTCGACTTGAACTGCAAAAGAAGAAGAAGAAGAGCCCGAAAGATCGAAGGGGCACGACGAGACGCAGTATCTCGAACAAAATATGGTCCATGACCGACTAACTTGTACAACAGGATAGTTGGATAGGATAGCTCGCTGTGAGCTCTAGGTTTGGGTTTCGCGTCGCTGAAATTGCGGGTCCACGCGTCCGGGATCGGTTGGTCGAGCACGATCATTTTGGCATTGCGCATTGCTTGCATGCGACAGACAGATTCCGAAATCGGCACCAAAACAGCTGGGTGCATGTCCGTATCCTAGTATTTATAACCGACTTCAACGTTCATCCGGATCACCGCTCCTTGCAGTGCCCCGCGTGGACGCACATACCGGTATGCTCCTGCACGTAGCAGTACACTTGGTTGTATGATGCAAGCCTTGAGCTCGGAGAATATGCGGCTAGTTTGGTCACAGAAGATGGCGCCAGACGATGCAAGATTCGGTTGGTTGATTCGACGGATATATGGACCGTGCCAGTGAAAGCGGGTGGCACACAAGCCTCATTTTGAGCCCACTGCTTGAAGATGCGATTCCATGTACCTAGAGGGTAGTGATCAAGTCGCATGTTGTTGAACCACTCGCCGCAACCGCTGTGACGACGGCTCTGGGCTCTGAAACTCCTCCCACCCACGGGTTCGTGCCAACCGACGCGGTCGTTGAATGGCACAAATGCCTATCAGGCTACGACTGCATTATACTAGTAGGATCGCACCGAACGAAGTCGCTCGATTACAAACTGCTTAGCAATGTCATCATTCTTGCCGCTATGACCGTGCCAAGGCTTTTACACTTGCCATGCGCCCCTACGTGCGTTTACATCCGCAATGACCACACAAACCACCGAAATCGATCCTTGAAATGGTCTGTAGCCAATCCCAAGGCCGAATTTTGAATGCATTGCCCAATCATATGCAACAAGCCAAGTCCCAGCTTTGATTGTGCAAGATAAGAATACACTTGGGCTTGCTGGTTATGCAAACTGGTTGCGCGTACCCAGAGTACATTGGGCCCAAACGTACGTCGAGGCACTCGTTCTTCTGCGCCGTAGTGACACTGTGTCGACTTCGACAGGCGCCCACGCCGGCACGACCCACCTGCCGCACGTGAGTTCACAAGCGGTACCGGCGTTGCCCTTCGACGGACCTTCTTCTCTATCGTTCGCTGGAAGGTTCATGCCAGCTGAGAGAATGGGTGCGAGACTCTCCTCTCGAAGTTTGTGGAATTATCATGGATACATCTTTTGCTGGCCCGACACCCACGGGCTTCGCGCGTCGTGAGATGACCACAACACCATACATGGCCGTGGGCGTGTACAATAGGACATTTGTCAAGGCGAGCTAAACGCCTCGTCGTGAAACCCACCCCGACAAACCTTTCTTCTCTGTGAGTCGAGCTGTGTAATGCCGTGATTTTCTGCGTTGAAGCACGGTCTGGGTGGCGTTCGTGGTGACGTCGCTTCAGGATATGTGCCCATCGTGAGCAGGCCGCTACTTCAAGTGTGGCGTGCAACCAGATCTTAGAGTACCCAACCGCGATGGGCAGGAAAGGCTCCTATGGCACCCTATAAGGTCCATCGAGCCGACCAGTCTAAGGTACGTGGACACTTCTGGCGCCAGCGTCCAGGTCGATCCCCTTCGAAATCATTCTGGCGTCGACTTGGCCTGTTTATGCATGTACGAGCAAGGGGCACAATCGCACCAGCTGTGCACGTTACGGGTTGAAGTTGGTGTCGGTTACAAAAAAGAAAGGACGGTACTGTGGCGAGCTTCTTGCGGTTTGTATGCGAGGCGCGCGAAATAGCCAGCGCCCGGCGACTGTCGCAGGCGAACGTCGCTTGAAGATTCGCACGTCCTCCTTGCTTCTCGGCGCAAGGTCCTCGGTCGGCACCAGTCGTTCTCGGTCGAAACTTCGCGTTCCGCCTTCATTTTCCTTTTTTGCCTCAAGCCCGCACTTTCCTCAAGATGCAGTGGGAACCGTCGTCGCTCATCACGATCGACGTCGGTGGCACGAGCCGCACGCTGACGTGGGGCGAATTCACCGCGTCGGTCGCCGAGGCCCAAACCTCGAGCTATAGCGCGTCGCTCGACCTCTTTTGGCTCCTCTTTGGCGGCGTCCTCGTCTTCCTCATGATGCTCGGCCTCGCGCTCCTTGAGATCGGCTGCGTGCACAAGAAGAACACAAAACACATCATGATCCGCATCCTATGCGACTGCTGCCTCACAGGCCTCACGTTCTACGCGACCGGGTACAGCTTTGCGTTCACGCACGGCAACGGCTTTATCGGCTCGTCCGGCTTCTTCATGCAAGGCGCCGACTTCACGGGTGCCACCGCGACGCAGGCGTTCCGGGGCCACCACTACGCCGACTGGTTCTTCCAGTGGGCGATCGCGTCCGTGGCCGTCAACATTTGCCACGGCGCGGTCGCCGAGCGCATCTCGCTGTCGGCGTACGCTGTCTACTCGTTCTGCGCGAGTCTCTTCATCTACCCGGTCTGCGCGCACTGGGCGTGGGCCGAGACGGGCTGGGCGAGCATGCTCAACGAAGGCAACCTCCTCTTTGACATTGGCGTCATGGACTTTGCCGGCACCGGGTGTCTGCATATGTTTGCGGGCACGTCGGCGCTCGTCGGGTGTCTCTTGCTCGGTCCGCGCCTTGGCAAGTTTACGGCCGAGGGCCACGGCCACCTCCCGTCGCAGTCGGTGCTGCTGCAATTCATGGGCACGATGATTCTCTGGTTTGGCTGGTACGGCTTCAACTGCGTCTCGACGCTGAGCCTCGAGGGCACAAAGGCCGA